TTGTATTGTATTGTATTGTATTGTATTGTATTGTATTGTATTGTATTGTATTGTATTGTATTGTATTGTATTGTATTGTATTGTATTGTAAATAATTCTTGACGGTTATAACGCAGGCAGATAAACAATTCTACCAGGCACCAATAATTCTGTAAAACAAAACCATTCTGTTTGTAGTGTTCTATCTTTTCATGCTTGTCAGATGGTTTAACAGTACATTACCTGTAACAAAGATTTTCTGCACTATTCATGTCATGTTTCTCTGAATTTGAATCTTGCTTAGTGTTGCATATGACTTCTTTTTATGACTTATTATGGGCTGTACAGAATACAGTAAAGATGAGTAAAATAGCTTGTCAGATAAACATGAGGGGTTTGCAAACATATGACAGCACAATAGGCTTAGATCAGCCTTCTGCAATTAGGCACTCTCCCAGAAATGTTGGACTGCAGCTCCCATCAGACCTGGATCAGGATGGCTACAGATGATGAGAATTATAGCTCAACATATCTGGAGAGTATCAGGTTCAGAAAGGCTGGATTGAACAATCTGTTCAATTGATATAATCCAAAGCATGGCAGATTCCAAATTTTGCAGATGACAGTTTGTAAATTGTCTTGTAAATGTCCTTCTGTTCCATTTGTAATTTTTGATTCTCCAGTAATAACTCTTCCAGGATCTTTTGCTATCTTTTGTGAGTGGCCAGAGCTATACAAGCTTTTAAGTTTCTTCCCAAGTAATTCCCCTTCTCTTGTCTCTTATTAATAACTGGAAATACAATTATCTCACAGTCTTTGAGAAACAGGACACTTCCACACTGTCTGATTCCCATTTCTGACTCCCTCACTAACCAAGCTCAAAAGCAACTTGTTTTCTTTGCATTACACATTTCAAGTCACTCTTCTCTAGCTGACTAATAAGATGTAAAATATATACCTTATTACTTTTTTAAATAGCAGCTTGCTGTGATGAGGAAAGGATAGGTTGCTATCCATTTTGCAACCTGGTCCTTTTCTCAGTAGCTGTAAGCATGGTTGCATGTTGTCAGAGAGTCTGGAGTGATGGAGAGGGAGAGAAACATTCTAAATAATAACTGCATAAAGGCTCAAGAACAGATAGTTGAAGATTGCCTGTATTAGGAAGATGGTCCTGGAAGAATAAAATTCTCCTCACCTAAGTAGAAAATGAATTTCTAGTAACTCCAGTGTCATCCCTGTGATGTGATGTATAGGCATAGGTGGAAGGACCCTCTTCGTATTTGTTTGTAGATGGACTGTGGCCACTGCCACATCACTAGTGTCAGCCCCAACCATGAAAGGCCTAGATAGTTCTGGGTGTTGCAGAACCGGCTCTTTTGCGAATAATGCTTTTAGGTGCTCAAATGTGTTCTGACACTTAAGTGTCCATTGCAGAGAACATCCAGGTCATGGCTTCTTGGTCATGTGCTGTGTTTTCAAAAGGTCTGTAAGCAGTAGAGCTACCTGGGCAAAAGACAGAATGAACTGGCGATAAAAATTGGTGAATCCCAAGAAACTCTGCAACTGTTTTCGAGTCCTGGGTGCTTGCCAGTCCATCACCACCTTGACCTTGGTAGGATCGATCTCTACTCCTTTTGGGGATATACAAAATCCTAGTTAGTCCAATTGTATCTGATGAAATTCACATTTGGACAATTTGACATACAAACGGGATGTTAATAATTTTTTGAGAACCTGGCATACTAGGGGGCGTGCTCTTGCATAGTTTTTGTATAGATAAGGATATCATCTAGATAAACCAAAACCCCGTTATACAGATCTTCATGCAGCACCTTGTTAATGAGCTGCATGGACACTGCAGGCACCATTTGTAGGCCAAAGGGCATCATTTAGTATTTTTTTTTTTAGTATTTTATTGGAATTTATAGGCCGCCCTTTTCCCTGAGGGGACTCAGGGCGGCTTACAATCAAAAAGGGGGGGGGGGTGCAAATACAAAAACAAAAACAGTAGGTGAATAAAATAAGACAATAAAAACACAACTTGCATTCAACATTCAACACTTGGGTGGGGTGAATTAGGAACTTATCCCCAAGGTATCCTTCTGAGGCGGTTGCGGGAG